CCCCAAACCCCCAAACCCCCAAACCCCCAAATCCCCAAAACCCCAAACCCCCAAACCCCCAAATCCCCAAATCCCCAAACCCCAAAACCCCAAACCCCCAAACCCCAAATCCCCAGATCCCCTGGAACTGCAGCGCCCAGGAACCCAAATCCCACCAGAACCCCAAATTCCCCCAAAACCCCAAATTTTCTGGAACTGCAGCGCCCAGGAGCCCAAATCCCCCCAGGAACCCAAATTCCTGCAACCCCAACCCCCCAAATCCCCAAAACCCCAAATCCCCCAGGAACCCAAATCCCCAGGAACGCCAAATCCCCGCAATCCCAAGTTGCTGGGAGACGAAATTCCCCAGGAATGTCAAATCCTGGAAACCCAAAATTCCTGGATCCCAAATCCCCAGGAACCCCAAATCCCGGCTCTTGGAGGAGCCCAAAATTGGGGTGGGGGGGGGTTCTCTGGATTTGGGGGAGCCCCGGGGTTGGAGGTACCCCAGGTTTTGGGGTTCCCCTGTTTAGGGGGGGGATCCCAGATTTGGGAAGAGCCAGGAATTTTGGGATCCATGGATTTGGGGGAGGGGGCGGGTGAATCCTGGGATTTGGGATCCCCAAGATTTGGGGTCCCCGGATTTGGGGGGAACTCGAGGCAGAGATACCCTGGGTTTTTGGGGTCCCTGGGTTTTGGGGTCCATGGATTTAGGATCCCTGGAATTTGGGGTCTCTGTATTTAGGACCCCTGAGTTTTTGGGGTCCCTGGATTTTTGGGGGTCCCTGGATTTAAGACCCCTGGATTTCGGGGGTCTCTGGAATTTGAGGTTCCTGGTTTTTGGGGGTCCCTGGATTTGGGACCCTGGGGTTTTGGGGTCTCTGGATTTCAGACCCCTGGAATTTGGGGTCCCTGGAATTTGGAGTCCCTACATTTAGCAATGCTGGGTTTTGGGGGTCCCTGTATTTAGGACCCCGGGGTTTTGGGGTCCCTGGAATTTGGAATCCCTGGATTTAGGACTCCGGGGTTTTGGGGTCCCTGGATGTAGGACCCCTGGAATTTGGGGTCCCTGGAAATTCGGGGTCCCTGGAATTTGGGGTCTCTGTATTTAGGATCCCTGGGTTTTGGGGTCCCTGTTTTTTGGGGGGGGGGGTCTTTGTGTTTAGAACCCCTGAATTTTGGGCATCCCTGGATTTTTGGGGGTCCCTGGATTTTGGATCCCTGGGTTTTGGGGGTCCCTGTTTTTTGGGGGATCCCTGTATTTAAGACCCCTGTTTTTTGGGGGTCCCCTGGAATTTGGGGAGCCACTTTTTGGGGGTCCCGCAGGAGCTGGAGGAGAACTTCTCCCGCGCCACCTCGGAGGCGTTGGCCGCCTTCGGCAACGGGGACCTGTTCGTGGAGAAATTCATCGAGCGCCCGCGGCACATCGAGGTCCAGATCCTGGGTACGGCCAGGGGGGTTTTGGGGGGTCCCTGGCACATTGGGGGGTCCCTGGGACATTTTGGGGTCCCTGGCACATCGAGGTCCAGATCCTGGGTACGGCCAGGGGGGATTTTGGGGGGTCCCTGGCACATCGAGGGGGGTCCCTGGCACATTTTGGGGTCCCTGGCACATCGGGGGGGGGTCCCTGGCACATCGAGGGGGGTCCCTGGCACATTGAGGGGGGTCCCTGGCACATCGAGGGGTGCTTGGGGGCTCCAGGGAGGTCCCTGGGGAGTTTTAGGATACCTGGAAAACCTTTCAAAGGTCTCTTTTTGGGGTGTCCAGGTGGATTTTGGGGGTTTCCAGGTCCCTTTTAGGGGTCCCCATGTCCATTTTGGGGTCCCCAGGTGCATTTAGGGGTCCCCAGGTAGATTTTTGGGGTCCCCAGGTGACTCCCATGGGAACGTGGTGCACCTGTACGAGCGGGACTGCTCGGTGCAGGTCCCTTCTGGGGTGTCCAGGTGGATTTTTGGGGTGTCCAGGTGGATTTTAGGGATGTCCAGGTCCATTTTGGGGTATGCAGGTGAATTTTGGGGTCCCCAGGTGACTCCCACGGGAACGTGGTCCACCTGTACGAGTGGGACTGCTCGGTGCAGGTCCCTTTTGGGGGTGTCCAGGTGCATTTTTGGGGTCCCCAGATGCATTTAGGGGTCCCCAGGTAGATTTTTGGGGTCCCCAGGTGACTCCCACAGGAACGTGGTCCACCTGTACGAGCGGGACTGCTCGGTGCAGGTCCCTTCTGGGGTGTCCAGGTGCATTTTGGGGGTTTCCAGGTACATTTTAGGGGTATCCAGGTACATTTTGGGGGTGTCCAGGTGGATTTTTGGGGTTTCCAGGTATATTTTAGGGATGTCCAGGTCCATTTTGGGGTATCCAGGTGAATTTTGGGGTCCCCAGGTGACTCCCACAGGAACGTGGTCCACCTGTACGAGCGGGACTGCTCAGTGCAGGTCCCTTTTGGGGGTGTCCAGGTGCATTTTGGGGGTTTCCAGGTACATTTTAGGGGTATCCAGGTACATTTTGGGGGTGTCCAGATGCATTTTTGGGGTTTCCAGGTACATTTTAGGGATGTCCAGGTCCATTTTGGGGTATGCAGGTGAATTTTGGGGTCCCCAGGTGACTCCCACAGGAACGTGGTCCACCTGTACGAGCGGGACTGCTCGGTGCAGGTCCCTTTTGGGGGTGTCCAGGTGCATTTTTGGGGTTTCCAGGTACATTTTAGGGGTATCCAGGTGCATTTTTGGGGTGTCCAGGTGGATTTTAGGGGTTTCCAGGTACATTTTAGGGGTTTCCAGGTACATTTTAGGGATGTCCAGGTCCATTTTGGGGTATCCAGGTGAATTTTGGGGTCCCCAGGTGACTCCCACAGGAACGTGGTCCATGTGTACGAGCGGGACTGCTCGGTGCAGGTCCCTTCTGGGGTGTCCAGGTGCATTTTTGGGGTCCCCAGATGCATTTAGGGGTCCCCAGGTAGATTTTTGGGGTCCCCAGGTGACTCCCACGGGAACGTGGTGCACCTGTACGAGCGGGACTGCTCGGTGCAGCGCCGGCACCAGAAGGTTGTGGAGATCGCCCCGGCAGCGCGGCTGCCCCCGGAGCTCCGCGCCCGCCTGGCCGACGACGCCGTGCGCCTGGCGCGGCAGGTGGGGACACCTGCGGGGTTTGGGGACACCTGGGGGGTTTGGGGACACCTGCGGGGTTTGGGGACACCTGCGGGGTTTGGGGACACCTGCGGGGTCTGGGGACACCTGGGGGACACCTGGGGGACACCTGCGGGGTTTGGGGACACCTGCGGGGTTTGGGGACACCTGGGGGACACCTGGGGGATTTGGGGACACCTGCGGGGTTTGGAGACACCTGGGAGATTTGGGGACACCTGGGGGACACCTGCGGGGTTTGGGGACACCTGGGGGATTTGGGGACACCTGGGGGACACCTGCGGGGTTTGGGGACACCTGCGGGGTTTGGGGACACCTGAGGACTCCTGGGGACACACCTGAGGACACCTGGGGGATTTGGGGACACCTGGGGGACATCTGGGGACCAGAGGGACTGGCACAACGGTGAGGACTGGGACAGTGAGGGGTGCGGTCCTGGGGGAATGGTGGGGGGTGGCCCAGGTGGACATTGGGGAGGTCCCCATGAATTGAGGCTGGGGGTCCCCTGGAATTGGGGTTGGGGGTGACCCCAGGAATTGGGGTTGGGGGTCCCCAGGAATTGGGGCTGGGGGTCCCCATGAATTGGGGCTGGGGGTGACCCCAGGAATTGGGGCTGGGGGTGACCCCAGGAATTGGGGCTGGGGGTCCCAGGAGGTGCCCGGTGTCCCCAGGAATTGGGGCTGGGGGTGACCCCAGGAATTGGGGCTGGGGGTCCCCATGAATTGGGGCTGGGGGTCCCCAGGAATTGGGGCTGGGGGTCCCCAGGAATTGGGGCTGGGGGTCCCCTGACGGCGGCTCCGGGGCCAGGTGGGCTACGAGAACGCCGGCACCGTGGAGTTCCTGGTGGACCAGAGCGGCGATTATTACTTCATCGAGGTGAACTCGCGGCTGCAGGTGGAGCACACGGTCACCGAGGAGATCACCGAGTGAGCGGGGACCCCGAAACCGCGGGGGGACCCCAAAACCGCGGGGGGAATCCTAAAAACTGTGGGGGGACCCCAAAAACTGCGAGGGGATCCCCCTGCCTCAGCAGCAGGGTCCCTGCAGGGGTGTGGGATGCTCTGGTTCCCCGGATTCCGACCCCGTGTCCCCAATGTCCCCCGTGTCCCCAATGTCCCCCATGTCCCCCCGTGACCCCGTGTCCCCAATGTCCCCAATGTCCCCCATGTCCCCAATGTCCCCCCGTGTCCCCAATGTCCCCAGTGTCCCCCTGTGACCCCGTGTCCTTCGTGACCCCGTGTCCCCAACGCTGACCCTGCTGTTCCCTGGATCTCCCTGTACCCCACTGTCCCCGGTGTCCCCTGTCCCTCAAACCCCACTGTCCCCTGTGTCCCTGTGTCCCCTGACCCCTGTTCCCTGTCTCTGTCCCTGTCCTTGTGCTGTCCCCATGTCCCTGACTGTCCCCATGTCCCCATGTCCCTGTCCCCGTGTCCATGATGCTGTCCCCATGTCTCTGACTTTGTCCCCATGTCCCCTTACTGTCCCCATGTCCCTAACGCTGTCCCCTGTCCCTAACGCTGTCCCCGTGCTGTCCCCATGTCCCTGACTGTCCCCA